GACAGTCTTCGGAGATTCATTTGACACATGCATTCTCAACTTAGAAGCCGTTCTACAAAGATGTGAAAAGAAAGGTTTTGTGCACAATTAGGAGAAGTGTCATTTCATGGTATCATCCGGCATAGTTCTTGGGCACATTATTTCTGAAAGAGGAATTGAGGTCGACCGCTCTAAGGTTGAACTCATTTCCAACCTGCCCACCCCCAAGGCCGTTAAAGATGTCCGATCTTTTCTGGGGCACGCCGGATTCTACAGGAGGTTCATTCAGAACTTTTCATCTATAGCGAGACCGCTAAGCAACCTCCTAGCAAAAGATGTTGTGTTCAACTAGACACAAGAATGTGAGGAAGCAATTCGAACACTCATCGTAAAAATGACTTCTGCCCCTATTATGCAATCACCAGATTGGAGCTTACCTTTCGAGATCATGTGTGACGCAAGTAACTACGCTGTGGGGGCCGTTCTTGGTCAACGGAGGGAGGGGAAGCCTTTCGTTGTCTACTATGCAAGTAGTACTCTGAATAGTGCTCAAATGAACTACTCTACTACTGAAAAAGAGTTGCTTGCTATAGTATTTGCTCTCGACAAGTTTCGTGCATATCTGATTGGTTCACCTATCACCATCTTCACAGATCATGCCGCCCTTAAGTACCTTCTCTCCAAAAAAGATGCTAAGGCGCGTTTAATTAGGTGGATCATTCTCCTGCAGGAATTTGATTTGACAATCAATGACAAGAAGGGAGTCAAAAATGTGGTGGCAGGCCACTTATCTCGTCTTGAATTTAATGATTCCGCCGAAATTCCTACTATTAGAGATGACTTCCCCGATGAACATCTCTTCGCCGTCACTAAGATGCCATGGTATGCGAACATTGTTAACTACTTGGTGACGGGCGAGATTCCATCTACCTAGGGTGCACAAGACAAAAGGAAGTTTCTGGTCGAAGTTCGTAACTTTTATTGGGATGATCCCTATCTTTTTAAGTACTACCCTGACCAGATCATGAGACGATGCATCCCGAATGATGAAGTGTCTAGTGTCCTGAACTTTTGCCACAACGATGCATGTGGCGGTCATTTTTCTGTGAAGAAGACCGCCGCGAAAATCTTGCAGTGTGGTCTCTATTGGCTCACTTTATTCAAGGATACCAATGACTTTTGCCGTTCCTGTGAGAGGTGCCAAAAGCTAGGTGCTTTGTCCCGTCGCCATATGATGCCCTTGAACCCGATTCTCGTAATAGAAATATTCGATTGCTGGGGGATAGACTTTATGGGACCATTTCCACCTTCTTTTGGATTTTTCTACATACTCCTCGCTGTGGATTACGTGTCTAAGTGGGTAGAAGCCGTGGCGTGCCGAAACAACGATAACACTACTGTTGTAAAGTTCTTAAAGGAAAATGTGTTATCTCGATTTGGAACGCCGCGTGCCATCATCAGTGATCAAGGCACCCATTTCTGCAACCGTTCTTTTGAGGCTCTAATGCGCAAGTATGGTGTGGTTCATAAAGTTTCAACTGCCTATCACCCACAGACAAATGGCCAAGCTAAGTTAGCCAATAGGGAGATTAAGCAAATTCTAGAAAAGACGGTTAATCCCGATCGTAAGGATTGGTCTTTGCGCCTTCCGGACGTACTTTAGGCATACCGCACTGCTTACAAAACCCAACTTGGGATGTCTCCCTACAGGCTTATCTTTGGAAAAGCCTGTCATCTACCTATAGAGCTCGAACATAAGGCTTATTGGGCTACCAAGGCCCTCAACTTCGATCTCAGCGCTGCAGGTGTCAATTGGAAGCTCCAACTTTCCGAAATCGAGGAGTTAAGGAACGATGCCTATGATAATTCCAGGATCTACAAGGCAAAAATGAAAGCTCCTGAGGAAGAACTTCGAACCGAATCAGCGGGTTCATCTCTATGATTCCCGTTTACATCTCCACCCCAGTAAGTTGAGGTCGCGGTGGACTGGCCCGTTCATAGTGAAACGCGTTTTTTCCAATGGTGCTGTCGAGGTTGAAGACCCAACCGATGGGAGAATCCTTAAAGTAAATGGCCAGCGTCTGAAAATTTACTTAGAGCGGGTGAACCAGGTTGAAGAGATCATTCTCGACGACCCCGTTTACCAGCCCTGAGTAGTTTGCTCACATCTCCTGTATCATATTTTTATTTTTTATTTTCTTCGTTTCTTTTTACATTTTTTTTATGTGTGTGTTGGGGAATCATATCAGGAAGCTCAAGATGTGCTCATATGTGGAATGCTCATCATCCAGGTGTCTTCTTTCTCTATATTTACATAATTTTTGACACTGAAGACACTGTCTGATTTTAGTTGGGGGTGGTGGGCATATTCATGCGTAAGAGTGATTTTTGTCATGTTGATATTTGGGTTAAAATTTTTGCAAAGTTGTCTGAGTATGATTCAAAATGATTGGTTTAGGTCGATTTTTGCTGTCTTGGTTGCTAAGAAATGACTTCCAGAGTTTCTTTTTGCACGTGCTAAACCTTGTGGTAAGATGGATGTTAATGCATGTCAGCTGAGAAAATTCCCGAGTTTAAGTGCCTGATTTTTAGTGAGTCAAGAGAGTAGAGAAAATGACTTTTGAACTTTCATTGATCTTTTGAGCTGGTAAAATCACTATTAGAACATCATTACATGGTTAGTGGTATGCTTGGTGCATATGCTTGAGGGATGGAATTTGGGTTAGATAGGAATGATCTTATGTAATAGAGCATCATTTCTTATTTTTCAAAAAAAAAAAAAAAAAACTGAGCAAGAGCAACATTTCACAGATCCTGTAGTTTGGTGTTAATCACATTCGATGCTATATAGCTGTTTGTTAAAAGAACACCTTTCTACATTCACTTAAAGTTGTCTCTTGCCAAAAAAAAAAACAAAAAAACAAAAAAAAATGAAGTAATTTTCCTATGCATTTTTTTTTCTTTGGCTCTTTGATAATTTCTGTAAATTTCTGTTTGACCCGAATGAAATCCCAAAAGTTGGTTGTGGTAAGAATGGTGGAATGTTCTAGTAGTTGATTAACCTATCTTTTGGTCAATGTTCGTTTGACTGTTTATCCTAAATTTGACCTTCCTCACACTGAGCGTTGATTGTTCCGCTCCCAACTCCATGAGAGAAAACCTTTACACTCAAATATTTCTGACACCCGTGAGATCAATGGAGTTGAGACTTTTACTTAGTGAATTTTTCAAAGCTGCATGTGTTATGGTCAGTGGTAAGAAGGTTATGGTTTCGAGTACACACACACGACTCTAGAGTTATGACTAAAATAATCTTGATAGTATCTTTTGACTTCTCACTGACAGTTTGTTTGAAATACCAAGGTGACTAAGCTAGTTGAGACTCAGATTTTCTTTGTGACATGATTTCTCTTCCGCTTGGATTGCTAGAGACTGGCAATAAGCTGGTTGGGGGTTATGATTAGTGCATGAAAATGCACCCCGAATACTACTTTTGATTTATATGATATTAAAATATTTAAGCTTTAATTAAACAATTCCATCATTTTTATTCATAATATTTTTAATTGAAATTTGTCTAGTTTTTGCTTAATTATTTACAGATAAAAAGTAGTGTAAAAAGCTACACAAAAATAAGCCATGAAAGACATGTTTTCAAGTTTCAACCAGCCGAGCCATGCCTTTTAGCCAAGCCGATCAGAGAGAGAGAGAGCCGAGCAGCTTAGCCGAGCCAACATCAGCTCGTGGGCCCACCACTCAGCGCAGGAATTCGCACCCGTTTCTTCCCGCCATCTCACACCTCGCGCGTCACCAGCACGCCGCACCTCACAGGGTGCGTTCCTTCCATGCAGCCATTAGCGCGCGTCCAAGCTTCAATCCGCGTGGGTCCTGCACGACAGTAGCAGACCTGCTGCCTTCTCCGCGTGCGCCACTTGTCCAACGCGGGTCCTCCACTCTGACCGCGCCAGCATACGCCAACCAATCCGCATGCGACACGTGGCACGTTTCCTCCTCACTTCCAATCACGTTGCGACACGTGTCCCATTTGGTGCTGAATCCGAATTCCTTCCCAAAAAATCAGAGGAAATTACCAGATTTCTTCCCCAAATCAAAAATGTGATTTCTCCTAATTTATGTGTAATTTTATTTTGTTTCCTTTTCTTTTGTAATTTTCTAGTTTTACAATTTATTTCCTTATTTAACAGGCAACTTCTGAACACTATAAATAGAGGGGTTGGCCTAAGGTTGTAGGAAGTTTTTAATATTCAGTTTTCTGTCGTCTTGCTGCCAGTCTCATATTTTCTCTTTAGAACTTGTGAGAATGTTTTGCAAGATAGGCTAGAATTTTCTTGGTGAGGTTAGAGATGAACTTCTGTTGAGTGACTCAATTTGGGATTTTGATTCCTTGTGCTGTAAAGTTTAACATTTAAATGAATTAAATCTCATCTATTTTTCTATTACTTTTCAAAATATTGTGTGCCAATTTTTATATAAGTTCTGTCACGCTTTTCTTATGTAATTATGTCACGCATTGTTTTGTTATTCAAATTATTTTACAAATTGTCTTTTACTGCAATATTGTCAAATTGATATATTGTCGATTTTGGATAACTTGTACTAATAATATTTTCTGAGCCAACATAGAGATTTAATTTATTCGATTCTTTTATTTTGTGAATCAAAACTTGAATTGGTGAACGAAGCATTAGGGATTCTCGACACCTTACCGTTTTCTTCATACAGATTTTCTCCTTTTTATTTTATTTGCAACAAAAATCCCCAAAACTCTCTTTTTTTTTTTTAATTCACTTTTCTCTAACACTCTTATTCTATTAGTCATTCTTGTTATTTTGTTATCTTTCCGTGGATACGACCGCCCTTCTGTGCTACAATTGACCACTTGTGAACATCACTTTTAGGCGTTAATCACTGTGTCTGTTTACGAAAACTTTCCTCTGGAACTTCACGACTCATTTTTTGGTGCAGCCAAAGACTTACTTGATCTTCCGGATGAAACAAAAATGCGGAAAACCGGTGACAGGCCTGCCAGCATAGGATATGTTCCACAACGCCCCACAGCTCCTCTCTATGAATCCATCGGAATCGATAGCCCACACACTATTGAGCAAGTTGAACGGTTTACTAACGTTATGTGGCCCCAAGGAAATGATACTTTCAGGTATATATATATGACGTTATATATGTTTGTAATCTAGTTTTTTGCTGATCGTGTATGGTTATAGTATCTAATTTGGTTAATTTTCTATGCTGTTGTAATAAATATATAAGTGCATATATATATATATATATATATAACTGTCTTTTTAAAAAAGCTTACAAATTAGGACACAATTATCATTTATGTGTATTTCTAAATGGTTTTTGGATCTCTCTTGGGTGCTGCTGTTGTTTAATTGCCATGCATGGCCTTTAGGCTTGTCGAAGTTTATTCTCCATGATCTTTGTATTTGTATTCCTTTTTCAGAATGTTTGGTCGTCCGTCATAGAATATGGTTTTTTTTAGGGGTACCAATCTAGTTAGGATATTGTTTTAAAATAAATAACACAAGCATTAATTGTTTGAAAGTGTTCACTTTATTCCTTCTAACTTACGTTTCTTATTTATGCGAATTAGTGATGCTGTGCATTCCTTCTCAAAGCGACTAGTAGAATTCGCTGAAATGGTCACAAGAATGGTCTTTGAGAGCTATGGAGTCAACATGAGGCTGTTCAACACCGTGATGGAATCAACCTTTTACATGCTGCGCATGTTCAAATACAGAACGCGCCTCGCGAATGAGATGAGTAATCTTGGATTGGGTTCCCATACAGACTGTAGTTTTATAACAATACTTCACCAGCATCACGTTGATGGTTTGCAAATAAAAACGAAGGATCATCGATGGATTGACGTGAAACCCGAGCCTTCATCTTTTATAGTCTTCGCCGGAGATGCACTTGCGGTACGTCACACATGATGATTTAGTAAGAATCCTTTAAAGTACTATCAGTATTGAGCACCACTGTTAATAGAATGCGGGCGCACCTGTAGACTCTATGTTGCAGGATTCGCTTTCTATTAGCGAGTGGTACTCAGTACCATCGGTTTCTTATAACATTATTTCTTTTATTACCTTTCTCTTCATACGATTCATAGAGAATTTCAGTAGCCTAAGAAACGAAAATTACAGTAATATTATTGGTAGTTTAGTAATATGGATTTAGTTTCAAATTTATTGGTACAGTAATATTTTTTCATAATTAATCATGAGTATTTGAGTTACGCTTATACGATCATGTTGTAAGACACAAAAATCATGCTTAATTTGTCAAAATGTACTTGAAAATAAAGATTAATTAAAGAAATTGAACACAAAGATCTGGATTATTCTCTTTAGGCGTGGAGTAATGACAGAGTACGTGCTTGTGAGCATCACGTGATTATGAAAGAGAACAAAGTTAGACACAGCACTGGATTGTTTACATTTATCAAGGGGTTGGTGCATGTTCCCAAAGAGCTAGTCGACGATGACCATCCGTTAAGATATAAACCTTTTGATCATTTTGGATACTTCCGTTTCTTTATTTCTGAAGAAGCAAAGAAATGTACTGCACCTCGTATTAAAGCTTACTGTGGTATAGATAATTGATCAGACGTACGTCTTTTCAACAAGACGCAAATGTTCTACGTTTTTTAATCTATTTCTATACCGTACTCTGTATCTCGTATACTACTGGTAGCTGTATTAGTGCTTGTGTTTCTCTGTTTATGTAATATTAACGCGATGGTCATGAACGGCGTTGCACGAAATTTCTACATTTTATGGCTGCCTTCTTTGTATCTCAATACTATCCTACTAGTAGTTTTGACCTCAAAACTTTTTTGGTTTACATTAATTTTTCATTTTTGTGCCGTTTTTATTTTTATTTTTTTTCTTAATTTGTCTCTCTCTTTTTTGTTTTGTTTTTGGGTTAGAAATTAGAAAAATATCTTTTGGAATGAGTTCACGGAGCACTTACAAGTATTATATGTATTTAATTTATCAATGTGTGCCCAAAGACAAAATTAATTGGGTACTACAACAGGATCAAATATGCAAAACACTTCATGTGTTTAGTCAGAATACCATATTTGTTTCTTTTTATTTACAAATACACAAAATTTGTCTAACAACATGTTGGGTTAGGGACACAAATTAATTTTAAGAAAGTAACAATTTTGTATTTTTAAGTAAGTTACTGTTTTTTTTTTTTTTTTTTGACAAGGATTATTAGGAGTATATAAATAAGTATTATTAGAATTCCAAGCAAGGATAAAGTTTGAATTTGATTCGAACTCCAGTCAATTATTTTGTTTTATAAATGTAGTTTTAGTGGTGATTTTTATTCAAATCTTTTCTGGATTCATCCGAATAGGTTTTCTCGTCATCTCACTTGTAGAACTTACAAAGTCATAGTTAAGAGATTGGAAAGAGAATTGACCTAGTGGAAAAAGGAAAAAATTTAAAATAATTGAAATGCTTGATCATCCAAGAGTTTTTTTTTTAATTATTATTTTTTATTTTCTAGATACTAATAGAAGAGAATAATTTTGTGATAGTTATTTTATATAAAAATATGAGATGGATTCCAATGATTTAAGGAATATTTTAAGGACGCATTCTGTTGTGTTCTACACTTTTTTTGTTTCTTTCAAACAAACAAAAGATTGGTCAAAGTTCCAATTTGATCCCTTAAAGAAGTTCAAGTTTTATTCAGTTTGAAAATTTATGACATTAAAGCCCATACAAAAGTTATAGTTTTAACCCAAAATTTTTGGGTGCTATATAGAATCACATTCAAACCCAAGAAAAAAAAATCGCAGTGAAACTGCTTCGCATATCCAACCACCGTTCCATTCCCATTAACTCTTCTTCAAAAGCATGAAGGAATCAAGAAGTTTCCATAAATCCTTTGCAGAACCTCATGAACCAAAAAACAAAAAAAACAAAAAAACAAAAAAAAAAAAAAACAAAACAAAAAAAAAAACAAAAAAACAAAAGAAAAAAAGAAAATCCTTTGCTAGTCCAGGAGCGTCATTAGCATCTCCATTCGTATTAACTTTAATTCCTCCAAATAAACTTTTATTTGGAAAAAGAAAATAAATTAAAGAGGAGAAAATAATTAATTGGTCACTAGGATCTTAAGAAGGAAAAAAGAGATAAAATGATCTAAATGTAAATATTAGATGATGATGCGTTAAATAAAAGGGAATTTCTCTAATAGAATCAATAAAAAATGAAATACTGATAATTCACTATTTTCAGTCGTCAGATCTATATATAATGGTGTATGTGAAATTAATTTATTATTTTTCTTTTTCCTTGGACTGTTGGACACTCTTGTTTCAACGTTCCTCATTATTTGAGATAAGTAGAGAAGAACCAAAGCAACAAGGATAAATTATATTTTTACCTCCCCTCCCTAACTTTAGGATAAATTATCTTTAAACTTTTAAAAGTGGTCTATTCACTTTTCAAATTTTAAATTGTCAGCGAAAATGCTCCATCTATTACATTCCGTCAATGCATATCACCAATTTTGAGTATAAAACTTATTTTATGTCACCGGTTAATATCTCTCTATTTATTTAAACAAAACATGTATGTAATATATATTTTGGTTTATATATTTCGTGAAACGGACCACTAGTAATTATCAAAAGGAGTAAAAAAATGTAAATTTTAATTAAAATTATTTTCTAAGTTCCTCGTAAGAATGTATATAATTACTTTCTTTTTTTTTTTCTTCAAAAGTACGTAGTACCAGTTAAGGATATTCTACCATAAAACTGTCCAAAAACTTCTACGTGTTGGTACAAATTTATTGTTTTAAAAAATCTTATACAACAAAAGAAAAGAAAAGAAAAGAAAAAAACAAGAAGAAAGCACGCACAGAAAAACGACGCTAAACTAACAATTAACGTGAACTTTAAAAAATTGAGATTAATATAACACAGAAACGACATCAATAAGAAACGATAATTATGAAATGAAAATTGACATCAAATAGAGTCGTAAAAATTTGAGTGACGAAAAGGACTTGAAGCCTTGATAAGATTCATGGGTCTGCTATAACATTTGTTTTCATTATTTTCTATTAATCTCAGTACTATACGCAAGCATTATAGACAAAGAAACAGACAAATTTTACATCATTGCCAAATTTATTCGCAAACCACTATATAATAACACAACCATTGGACATTTTTTTTTAATTGGAAAAGGACTTTGAGTACTTAAATTATTCTTAGTGAAATAGAAACAGGGAAAAAAAGGCAACTTTAATCCTAACATACATGATATCATGTGATTAAGAAAATGTAACATACAAATATTATAAAATGTATTTGAATTATGTCTAATTTTTTTCAGTTTAGTCGCAAATAGGGTCTTATTCTATGGAATCGAACCCGTTTGGTAGAACTTTTTCTTTTACTTTTAGCCAGTAAAAGAAGAGTCCAAATAGCTTAATCGGTCAAAATTATTTTTAAATTTTCTAATAAGCAATAAAAGTGTTAGAATTAAGTTTATGATGCCTTAATTAAAATCTGGTATATGTTTCAAAGTCTATTCATAAGTCTTTTTTTCAAAAACCACAATTTTTAACTTTGACTGAAAGCTCTTCTAAAATAACACTTTTAGAGGCAGTTTTTGGACTTAAGCTAAAAACAACTTTTAGGAAGCTTTTCTAAACAGACACTTCTTCTTCTAGTACAAAATAACATACGTAACACCCCAATCCAACAACTTTATATTTATATCATTTTTGTTTATTAAAAAAAAAAATGTTAGTACATTTGACCCTAAACTTGTCGTGGTTTTAGCACATTTACCTCTCTAAACTTGTCATTGTTGCAATATGCCTCATTTTGACTACGATTCTGTAAAATTAGTGTCAAAAAATCACATTCAGCCAAAAATTTTAACATTTCAATTCAAATGTAACACAAGTATTTTAATATCTCTTCTTTTCATTATTTTCTAATACTACGCAACCAATATATAATAGTTTACAATTAGCCCTCTTAGATTTGATTGTTCATCTGGTGTCCCGATGGTGTTGTAACACAGTTTGAGACACGACTTAATTAATTAAGATATGCATTAATTATATTTAGTTGCTGAAACAGAATAAAGTGCAGAAATAAAAAGAACACGTAATATAATATCGTAGTTCAGTGTGCACACTTATATCTGCGGGGTCATACCCAGACAGTAAACAGTTCACTATGTTCCAGAAATTACAAACACTGACGGACTTATTCACATAGGACTCCCTCCTAGACCATGACACCGCTGTGACGAATCTTCACAGTGATGTTATTTACCATGCACCACACGTTTTCTATTCACCCGGTGAACTTTATTCGACCGTCATAGCTTCCTCCCGAAAGCAACAAGCCTCTCTTCCAAAAGACGTAATGATTAACACTCAAATGCTCTCAAAAGCACATGCGTCTCTCTGAATATTTCTCTGTTAAAGCTCTCAAACTCACAGACTTTTCTCTAGATATTTTCTCTATTAAATCTGTACCAAGTGAGCTAAACACAAGTCCTTTAAATAAGGCTTTCAAAGCTACTCGAGAATCTCTCCCCTAAAGATCTTTTTTTTTTCTCCATAATTCTCTCTTAGATTATTTCTACAAAGTCTTCTCCTCAAAATATCTGCACAATCTCACCAGTAAACTATGATAGTGAAAAAAAATAAAAAGGTGAGAGAGCTCAGAAACAATTGCTTTCAGGGACAACATAGTATATTTACCACTGCGCCTCCATTTGGCGCCATATTATACGCCTATAACCTCGTGCTTTAATAATAATAATTATTTCCGCTAATTATTTTTCAATTATTATAGCATCAATTAACATTCCGTCCTCTTTATTTAAAAAGATAAAATCTTATAAATATTCCATTATTCTTGTTGTGGCATACGCGCCATGGACATGCAATTTGCATTCTGAGCTTGTCTTCTTGAAGGTGGATCATTTTTGAGAAGATAGAGTCCAGAACACATCTCAGCACTGTCAATCCTCTTCCTCGAATTCAATTCTTGAAATTCACACAAATTTGAGAAAAATTTAGACACTCTTCTGATGTCTACGCATACTTTTACTGCAAGGGGATCCAACCACACGACCTTATCTTGAGTGGGAGATATCACGGCCAACATTCAAAGTCCTCCTCTATTGTATGGCATGAAGAAAGTGCGTCGGGCATTTGATTGTAATAAAAATGTACAAATGACGTTTGTGTGCCGCTCTATATCCAGCTCCGCTTGGTCTAGAATGTAGGACGTGAGCATTGGGGACATGAAACCCCAAGGTCCTAGGACATTCTCCTGATTGCACACATGTCACAAGTGACTACATGAAAAACGAAGAAGTTAGTTATACATTTAATAATAAATAATAATTTATTGTAAAAAAATAATAAGAATAGTTATATTACCACATGTAAGATATGATACACACAAGACTAAATTCTTGATAGTTGGCAAAATTTACCAAACAGTGGGCTACATAATTCCCTTAACGGAAAATGTACCAAATAGAACCACTTATAGCATGAGACGTAGCTTCTTTAAACATCTCCGATAATAGCAACTTCAAGGGCTCTTGAAGACGGTCTTCGAACTGCATTGACGACATTAGCTGCATCCGACACAATCACACAATGAGAGAAACCACTTCTCTCAAAAGAATATCACACATAATCTCTTTTCAAAGAAACTCCACAAGAAAATCTCTCTAGAAAATCTTCCATAATTTTTTTCAAAATAAAATCTCCACAATTTTATCTGCTTCATTATCTCACTTAGACTTTCTCTAAACACGCTGATCAGATAAGCCTCCTTTTAATTTAAAACACCAAATCCCATTTGAACTTTTAAACCAAACCTAATGCTTTAGTCTACTTACACCACACCTCCACATTTGTAGTATTTTAACGTTCAAATCCCAAAGCTTATCTCACGAAAATCACTAACCAAGTGTAGCCAAATAATCTCTAATAAATTCAAATATGTAACTCTTGAACTTGAATTTAAATCTTCTCCATACCATATTCGGATTACTTCACAAAAACAATCAAATCCGAATTAATATTGACTTGCAAGCAATATGTCCATTTAAATTTGAAACTAAATCTATATTACTTTATCTGCATATAAGCCATCTTCCGTTCAAATTCAAATCACCCTTTTTAATCCTGATATGCACATATCACAACTCAATAAAATCTGCAACTTAAACTTCAAATCTGATTCTGAATCTTTTTCTGCAATCTAAAATCTTGTTGAACCTGTTTTTTAAATTTTTACAAAATTATTAATAAATTGCCAACTAATAAAAATACTTAATAAGCCCGTCCAATAATACAAGTAAGTGAGAAAGAAAATCATTATGGGATCTGAAGTAGAGCATAAGATTCCTGTCATAGATTTGAGCGAGGAAAAGGACTTGAAGCCTGGATCAGATTCATGTGTCTTGGCCTGCAAAAAAGTCCGATATGCCATGGAAGAGTACGGCTGTTTCGAAATTGTTTGCGACAAATTTCCTCCAGAACTTCGCAACTCGATATTTGGTGCAGCTAAAGATTTGTTTGATCTTCCCAAAGAAACTAAGATGAAGAAAATAACTGACAGGCCTAGCGCTCTTGGCTATGTGGCAGAACATCCCAAACATCCTCGCTACGAAACTCTTGGAATTAATAGTCCAGACACTCTACAAGGAGCTGAACATTTTGCCAACATTATGTGACCTGCAGGGAGTGATATTTTCAGTTATATATGTATGTATGTGTAAATTTATATGGATGAGTTCTCAATGGTTTCGTTAATTTCTATCGGTGTGGTTACTCATTAGATCATATAAAAATTTAATAATTTTGCGCGATCGATAAGAATCCAATCACATTGATTGCTTCATTATTTATCAATGTCTAGTTTCTAATTTTTTCTTAAAATATACGATATAATGATGAGTTTCTAACTCTCTTATTATATGATCGTATATATATATATATATATGCACTAGAGAAACTGTGCATTCCTGGACAAAGAGCTAGGTAGCATTGTATGAAATGGTAATGAGAATGGTGATTGAGAACTATGGTGTGGAGATGGGGTGTTTGACTCCATCAAGGAATCTTCCTTCCACATTCTCCAATTCTTCAAGTACCGAACACCGCAGTCCGACGAGAGTGACCTATCCCTAGGATTGAGCGCTCACAAAGACAGTGCCCACATAACCATAATTCATCAGCATCACGTCGGAGGCCTACGGATCAAAACAAAGGATGGTCAATGGATATTTGATGTGAAGCACTCGTCCTCTTCCTTTGTAGTTCTTGCAGGCTACGTGCTTATGGTATGTGCATCATTGGGCGTTTGTGTCTCTATATACTTAGATGTCAAATAGAAATTCATTTCTCATGTCGTATTTTTCAGTCCCTTTTTCGCGTCCCTCAATAATATTATATTATATTAATTATTTTAACTGATATGGTCTTTTTAATTAAATATGATATAATATTTTATTAGATATGACATTTTAATTGAAGCGGTGTGATATTATTAGAAGGATTTAAATTATTAATATGGGCCAACGTCTGGATCACAGCCTTACTTTTAAGATTAGATATATATATATATATTCTTTTATTCGTTTTAGGCATGGTGCAATGACAGAATATTCGCATGTGAGCATCAAGTGAGTATCAGAGATCAGAACGAAACCAGATATTCCGTTGGATTAATCACATACACCAAGGGGATCTTAAATGTTCCTGAAGAGCTGGTCGATGACAAACATCCGTTACGATATAAACCGATTGATAGTTTTGGTTTCAAAATTTTCCGTCTTTCAGAAGAAGGAAGCAAAAGTGCATGTTTGTAGTAAAGCTTATTGTGGCATTGATGATACATATATATGTACCTTTTCTTTCTTGTCATTGTCTGCTGTGTAATAATTCCATGTACGATATAATCTATGCAAAAACCATGTAATATAATTAATGCCATCAGCCTATTGGAAGAAGTTAGCCGTGGCTTAGACGTGTGTGGAAAAATTGGACTGCCAGTTGTTGTTGCTTAAGTGATCAACGTTCTTGTAATATTCCATTAATCTGAATCCCAATCTCTTGTGCAATGATCAGCACAATTTAGAAGTTCCAAAATTTTACTTGTTATCCCTTATTCTTTTCTGTTCATTTTTTTTTTAAATAAACTGAGGAAAAAAAACTATATTAGCATTAAGAAACATATTAAAAGCACATCCTAAGTTCCTAATAAGGGTCCAATTAGCGGAGCTCTTGTTTTTACAGTAGAGGAAGAAAAACAAAACTTTTTAGTAAGTGTTTAGAATTAAAAGTTTAATGGGTTAAAATGATTTTTTACTTTTTTAATTAAACAGTAAAAGTGTTGAAATTAAGGGGTTGTTCTTTTGCAAAAAAACTCAAAAAAAATTTAAACTCAAGTTACAACTTTATTCAAGTTCATATTCTTTTGGAAAATTTGAGTTTGGACTCGAGTTTGAATTCGAGTTTGAACTCGAGTTTGGGGCTAAACTCGAGTTCATAAACTCAAATTCAAGTTAATGAACAATATTTTTTCTATTATTAAAAATGTCATAACTTTTTTCGTTTTAATTCTGATTAAGATGATTTTTTTTCTATGCATTCACAACGAAAAGACGAATAAAACCCCACCCATATACCCTATTAAAATTTTTCATCACCATTGAGTTTTTATTAAAATACTATCTAAAAATAAATTTAAGTTTTGACCCACTCAAACACAAACTCAAAAAAATTCTCAATTCAAATCATAGCTCAAATGTGCACATTTAAACACAAACTCAAGTTACAATTTCAACTCAAGTTATAACTCAAACTCAACTCAAGATCATCACTCAAGTCACTCTAACTCAAAAATGTAAAAGAATAGCCCCTAAGTTTATAATGTCTTAATTAAACTCTAGTACAAGTTTTAAAGTCTATTCAGAAGTGTTTTTTTTTAGAAGTCACAATTTTTGATTTTGACTAGAAGCTCTTTTAAAAAGCCAAAACACTTCTAGCAGATCATCTAAACACTTTCAGAAGCAATTTATAAACCTGAAAAACGAAAAACAACTTTTAAAAAACTCTTCCAAACATACCCTAAGTTTGCACATATGCCGAACAGAGCTTCTTGAACTAAAAATATTATTTATAGAAAAGTAAAAACAATGATATGTGAACAAGCGGAAAACATAAGGCAAGCTAAAAAAAAAAAAAAACAAAGAAAGAAAGAAAGAAAGAAAGAAAGAAAGAAAAAGCCTTGAAGAAATTAAAAGGCGGGAGCTAGCACCAGAGGATTAAGGCGAAATCATCACTTTGAAAGGTTTCTGTTTTATTTAGCGCTTGCACATGTTAAAAAAATGTATATGTCACTTCACTCAAAAATAAATAATTACTATTCAATTAATAAAAAGAAAATAAATGATTATAATGACACTTAATTACTTAGATTCACATAAATAATAGATATATACAAAATCATTCCACACCATATACTTTTCTTCAAAAATTATCTAATAAAATCATTAATGGACCTTTTAATAACTTTATACGTGCCCTTGGGCCACAATGTTATTCTTGGTTAAATTTCAAGTTAGGATTATTCTCATTTTTTACCTCAAATTTAAGGTCAATTCTATTTTGCCCATTAAATTTAAAAACTTTAACTTTACTGAGTCTTGAATTTTGAAATACTCTCACTTAACTACTTTTATTAAAATTTACGTTAAAACGGTAAAAATGAATCTTGAATTACTCTCACTTAACCACTTTTACTAAAATTAACGTTTGAAATGACGTAAAAATAGGAGAAATAGTCCCATTTAATCTCTTATATTAGAGTTTACAATAAAAACAAGCCGAAGAAGACCTCATAACCTCACTAATTAAAGCCCCTCCTTAATTTTATGTCTATTTTTAACATAAATTTTGACAGGGTTAAATGGAACTAATTTAAAATATAAGAATAAAGAGAGTTTTAAAATTTAGGAGTGAAACGAGAATGACTTTTAATTGAGGAGCACAGTAATTTAGAATAATCCTTAAAAGTTATCGTATTTTAACATGACTAGATGCTGCTAATTGAAACTGTTCTTTAGTAATATATGTGCTTGTATTTCTTTTGATCTTATGAAGCTTATTTGGGAAACCGGGAACCATGGACATGTAGCTAGAGCCAGTAACAATATCATAGTTAGTAACTAACATATAATTTTAGTGATAATACGACCCTCAAAAAATTAAAACAAAAGCAAAAAGTAGACTTAATTATAGCAGCAGTGATAAGGTGATTATGATTAATATAAATTTTTGACGTTTTCTTGAATAACCGGGGTAAGGCTTAGGCGATCAAGAGGAATAGATCGTGATTATATTGAGACAGAAAAAAGGTAAGTACTATTAATTAACTAATTATACTAAACTTAGATTAACACGTCTTGTATAGATCAAGATAGACTGCATGATCATTACATACATTTTCTTAATCGTGTCTGACTTCATTAAAACGATAAGAGTTTAATTTGGTTGGTGGCATGTCTTTGTATGCGTCAATTATCGCAGTACAAATTATATACATATATTATTGCAAATAATACAAATACAAACAATTTATGAAGCATAATTAAAAAATGCCTTGTCGGCATATAAGTACGACTATGTTTGTTAGATAAAAAGTGGTCCCTGTAGGCAGGACCATCAGGCGCGCGCCAGAGATAATGAACAAGACTAATCGACAGAAAATATCCTAATAAGATTGATCAACTGTATTTTTTTGGATAAATTTTAAGTTTAATTGATGTTTTGAAGACAAGATCATAAAGTGTGGTGTCCTTCAAACCAAAAGAACAAAGTTGGGCCTATTTAATTTGATGTCTACGTAAATTTCGAATAGACATTGTAGAGAAAAACACGTTTCGGCCAACTGGATTCGGCCGGCCATGTTTGGTAACAAAGATTGACCGGCATCGGACGACAACATGACGCACGTCGACCCCCTACACAGTTTTTTTTTTTTTTTTAAAGATTTTTTTTTTCAAAAAAAAGATATTTTTGAAGTTTTTTAAATGTTTACATTTTTTTTTTAAGAAATGTTACTCCGGGGAAAAAATCAATCTAAAGATACTATTGACTCTTTTTTTCTTTTTTGGGACCTTCTCTGGTACTACGGGAATAATAGTAATACGTGTTTTCTAACTGTTTGATTCGTATACTTTTTAACTTTGATAAGATTTTGTACATATTTAACGGTTAAAAAATACGTACTACCCGTACTCTTGCAGTACCAGAGAATCTCTGTTCTTTTTTTACCTTTCCTTTTAAGAGTTTTTTTTATTATTTTAATGATACTCGGCATTAGTCAATTCTCTTCACCCTAATAATCCCTCAATTTTCTGCACTGCAAAACGTCATATATGTCGTCATTGAAGAACAAAAAGAATTTTCCGAGATTAAATATTAAATTTTTAAATGAAACAGAGTAATCAACTAGCATGAGCATAAAAGGATTCGAAAAATTGGCACCTACTAGGACAATCCTATCACACGCCAACATGCCCTTTCTAATATCATAAGAATTCGATGCCAAGATTTTAAGTATGAATTTACTCCTTATTATAAAACAATGATATGGGAAGCCACGATTTTTGAAAGATAAGCTCCACAAGCCCCACAGAATTATTATGAATAATCCTAGTGCGAAATACAAAAGACTACCAATATTTCATTTTAATAGGTTGTGCTACAAGAAAATGAAAATTGACAGAATAGACGATATGATTATAATATTGACTATAAGCCTGGAATTAAAAGGTCAACTTATTTTGTGAATTTGCCAAATGTACTTAATAATTTGTGATTAGTTTATATTAAAATTGTATGGGATTCGGGTTTATTTTTATTTTTTACACGCTTGACAGGATTGATTTTTTTTTTTATTAAATACACGCTTCATAAGATGGTGCATTCTTTGAAGTTACTAATCCTATTTTGGATGGATTAGCTGCTCTTTTGAGTTTTGTGCATTTTGATACCATTATAAAAAATTGGATTTTCTAATGGCTTAAGATTCAATTTTAAAAAATCTGCCAATTAAGTGAGGTGATACAATGTCATTACAAAATTTTTATTATTTTAAATTTAAATGACGTAATTTTTATTTATTTATAGATTTTTTGTGGAAAGAAAAATTGATACGGGCACATCAGACTACAAATACTCACGTAAGATTGTAACTATATCAGTACACTTCTCTCAACCAAATAAACAAATAGAAGGGGGAAAAAAAAAAAAAAACTATATAAGCTGCTATACATACATTTCAAACAGATCACGAAGGGGAGAAAACATTTACCATCATTAATATAATTATGGGATCTCAGAGTGCAGAGCATAAAATTCCTGTTATTGATTTTACCAAGAAAAATTTGAAGCCTGGAACGGATGAATGGGTCTTGGCTTGCAAAGAAGTCCGAAATGGCTTCGAAGAGTATGGCTGTTTTGAAGCTGTCTACGACAAAATTCCTGTAGACCTTCACAACTCAGTTTTTGCTGCAGCTGAATCTCTATTTGATCTTCCATTAGAAACTAAAATGCAGAAAACCAGTGAAAGGCCTTACCATAGCTATTATGGGCAGTTCTCCGTTGTCCCTCTCTATGAATCTTTGGGAGTTGATAATCCAACAACTTTGCAAGGATCGCGAAAATTTACAAACCTTATGTGGCCTGCAGGGAACGAAAATTTTCGGTAAACTTGAACTTTATACATTGGTATTTTACTACGTACTAGATATTTTTTTACTATGTAGTGAATGTTTCTGAATTGTCTGTCAGATATATATATATATATATATATATATATATTCTTTTATTATGAAATAATTTAACGTTCAAAAATCTACATGAATAAGTACTTTACTTAATTATAGAAATCTTTACAAGGTAGACCTCATTTTTTTTTTTCGTTGTCCGTTACAGTGAAACTACTCAGTCCATGTCAAAGCTATTGGTGGAACTGTATGAATTGGCAACAAGAATGGTGTTCGATAGCTATGGCGTCCAGAGACTGCATGGCTCCAACATGGCATTGACCTCATACCTTCTTCGATTCTTCAAGTACAGAACTCGTCAACCGAACGAAACCGATGTAGGGTTGCAGTGTCACAAAGACAGGACCTTCATGTCCATAGTTAATCAACATCAAATTGAAGGTCTTCAAGTCAAATCCAAGGATGGTCAATGGATTGACGTTAAACCTTCAGCGTCGTCTTTTCTAATCATTGCAGGCGACATAGTTGGGGTATAATGTCACTAACTATATCACTGTTCGACTGAATTGAAGATCAAAAACATTTTTATATATGTCATGAAAATTCACATAATTTGATGATTTTTTTTTTATTCTTAGCACATTAATAGCTCTTTTGATTTTTGATAATATTAATACAGGCTTGGAGTAATGACAGAGTTCGTCCTTGTGAGCACCAAGTGATTATGAAAGAAAACAAGACAAGATACTCCATTGGATTATTTGCATTCATTAATGGTGTGATTGATGTTCCTGAAGATCTAGTTGATGAGAAATACCCCTTAAAGTATAAACCAATTGACCATTTTGGGTGGCTCCGTTTCCAAGAACAAAGAAAAGCTCCGTATCCCATTAAGGTCTTTTCTGCTATTTCAGAATAATCACTGAAAACGGGTCTCCTTTTTTTTTTTTTTTTTTTTTTTTTTTATGTACTTCATATGGTTAGTGACTTTTACGCTACGTGTCCAGTGTTTCTAGTGTATGAAGTGTGTGGTACAACATGCACTTTGAATTTCAAGCAAGCGCTATTGTATCAAGTTTTTTCTTTAAAAAAAAAAAAAAATGGAAGTGGATCTTATTAACTAGAAAGAGCTACATCGGCACTTATAATAGATTGAATACAATTATGAAAATCCTCCGATTAATACTGGTCTTTAGTTAAAGAGTGGTGTATTAAGAATGTGTGGTGTAATTATGTGGTTTATGTTAATTATTTTATGAGGAGTGAAGTGATCTAAGGGGTGGAGACACCACCGACGAAGTGGGCGGCTGCCCTATTTAAACTCTTTTTTTTTTTTTTTTTTTGTAATATGAAAGTTTACATAAAACTTATACTTTGTTCCGCTTCCTTAAAATTCATCTGTGATCTATTTACTCTACCTTATTAGTTCAGTCACGCCCCCATCCTCTTGATTAATTTTTCTGCCTCTGCCCCTAACAAAGTTAGAAATGCAATTTGTCCCTAACAAAGTTAGCTATGCAATTTACCACTAAAATTCTTGCTTCAAGAAGAAATGATCTCCTAATTTCTTAATGCATGATCAGTTCTCAATGGTCTTGCCGATTTAGTGCAAATCAAATTATTATTATTATTACTACTTTGATGAATATGTGGTGGAAGCGTGAACAAAAGAAAAGACAAACTCTCAGGTTTGTTTGCGTATCAAATCAAATATTTTATAGAATTTAATTGTACGATTTCTTTGAGAAAGATCACAAGCAATTATGATAATTAAATTAGTACTGCTGCCATATCCAAGCTTATATATGATAATGATCTTCTGATAATTGCCAAATGCCAGCTAGTCAGATGGTCCCAAATGAGGAAAATCATCAGTGACGTGACCGTGTTACAACTTCCCAAAACCCAGTTTGTCCAACTTAAAAAACGACATGTGATTTTCTTAAGAAACGGAATACGTACGTCGTCTGTTCAACTTTAAAGGACGTCTCTTCAACCGCTGTCGTATTAAGGAATGAGTGATCAATGTCTTTTGTCTTCAATCAGGAACGGATGCACTATAGGAGCCGTCTGGCCACGTGCTCCCACTATATATTTTTTTTTTTATTTGCACTTCCATATAGTACTTTAGTATTTTTTTTTTCTTTCAATTTGCCCTTACTCAGTCTTTTTTTTCCACATTGATCCATGACTACTGTGAAATGTAATTTTATCCCTATCATAATCTCTTTCGGTATCTCTTCCTTTTTATCTGTTCATATCTTCTCATTTAGTTTTAGTTTTTTTTTTTTTTTTTTTTTAAACATTAAGGTATATGTTCTTCAAACTTTATTGTAACAACGAGTAATTATGTCGAGTAAAGTAGTAACGTAGTAGGGTAAAGAGAAAAATGTTGAGCTTACTCTTAAAAGTATATGAGTCTAAATTTTTACCCCTTACTCTTAATTAATACTCTTTTGTTATTATACTTATTTTGCTAAAAATGGTATTAATTAAGAATAACGGATAAATATTAAGATTCATACACTTTTAAAGGGTATTTGTCAATATTTCGGTCATGTAAAGTTATGCTTAATGATTAAATGTATAACATATTACTAATTAAGTACAATAAGAAAAAAATTATATTGATGGATTTATGAAAATTGATTAGATTATTCACAAAATGTCGTTTATGTAGTATACTTAACTCACAATATCATTATTTCAACAAGCAAAATTAATGGATTTAAGAAAATTGATTAGTATTTTTACATTATGCGATTTATATAGTACTTAACTCACAATATTATTTTTTGGACTAGAGTTGTCTTAGGTCGAATTAAATATGCTCGAAACCAAGTTTGATAAAAAAAAGAAGACAAAAATTAAAGAAAAGAAACATTCTTATTTTAGAACTTTAGTTTTTTAGTATAGAATTTTAGTATTGATTAGTGCCCCACTGAAATAAATTTATGGCTCCGTGACTCTCTTCAATGTCCTATAAACGACATAACGTTTTATTTGAATGTTGTTTTCTAGTTTAACATTGCTTCGCTCTTGTTTTGTTGCATAGTAAACGACACGTCGAAGTCTTAAAATTTTTTTTTCCCTCAACTGAAAAGTTACAGAACGTGGAGCTTGTTTAGGATTCGATTCTGCCAATGACTTTTTGGGGTTATTTACTGCTATGAACTTATGAAGTGATTACGACTCACGAGTCATCTGTATAAAGTTCATAAGATGACATGTTAATTTTCTGATTTTTCTTCTTGTAAACGTAACTATAGACGACATGTTGTTTATTGTATCCTTTACCATGAAACGTCTCTACTCTCTAGTTTTCTTTTCCTTTTCTCTGTTTTTTTTTTTAATTTTTAATTTTTTGTTTTTATAAATAATTTATTGATTTTCTTTTTGAGAGAGAGAGAGTGATCTGTTTTCCTTTGTTGATCACTTTTTTTTTTTTTTTTTTTTTTTGGCCTTTGGCAAGAAAAGAAAAAAAGATTACTAGTAGTCTTGCATGGCCATCCTAACACGACAGTATGTGTCATATTTTGGGCATTTCGTCTGACTTTTGCTCTGACGAGAAGACACGTGGCTAGTAGAACATTTCTCAATTTCATCGGCACTCATTTTATCACTCGTCATATTTTTGACATTTCTTCTGACTTTTGCTCTGATGAGAAGACACGTGGCTAGTATTTTTGGCATTTCTTCTAACTTTTGCTCTGACGAGAAGACATGTGGCTAGTAGAACATTTCTCAATTTCATCGGCACTCATTTTATCACTCTATTTCTCACTCTCTTGCTTCTCTTTCTGCCCCATGTCATTTTCACATCCCCATAAAAATAAAGCATAATTATAAACCATTGTTTTATCTCTTCATTACAACTTTGCCACTTTTTAATATAAAAAATTTCCATTATAATATTTATTACTTATGTATTAGTTTATAAATACGTTGATACTTTTTTTCCTTTCCTTTTCTTTTTTAATTTTTCCTTTTTAAATATGCATGTTGGATACGTTTTTTTTTTTTTTTTCCCTTGTAAATCGTTGGGCAATCTTGAAAAAGACCTTTCCTTTACACATTATATATGCATACTGTTTACTTTTTTTTTTCTTTTTTTTTTCTTGTGCTCCTTTTATGGATTTTCTAATGCTTTTAATAGGAAAATGAGATGCCACACGGCAATAGTACAGAAAGTAGAGAGTGATAAAAAGAGTATTGATCTTAGCATTTTTCTAATATTATAGCTTGGAGGTATATATAAATTAAGCCAGCAAAACTAACTCTCACAAGGGCCTGCTACGGTCTAAGTCGATTATCAAATATATAACAAAAAAGGAGCGCCTTTCTGTCAAATTGACTCTTTCTTTTTTTCTTTTCTCCTCAGCTCTTTTGAGACTTTAGGATCCGAAAACCCAATCTCGTAAAGTTAAAAAATGCTTATATTTGACATTTGACAACATTAAGCTACAAAAGTTTCTGTGAATATTCGATTGATCACCAAGAATGTGATAAAACGTACAGTCAACATTTTCGAATTCATCGATCAATTTCCTGTCTTATCTCAGAGCATGTCATGTCCTTATCTCTTGGACTAATTAGGCATATATCACGCAAAATGCAATGAGATTATCTTGTATAAATACGTGTACAAATTAATGTTAGGCAATACATACCTCAGTGTAGATCCTTTAAAAAAAAAAAAAAACACCTTAGTTTGAGTATTTTGAGAAGGAAAACAATGGTTGTGAAATCACTACCAAAGATTCCTACTATAGATTTTTCAGAGGGAAATTTGAATCCTGGTACAAGTTCTTGGTTCTCGGTGTGCAATGATGTGCGGCGCGCTCTCGAAGAATATGGCTGCTTTGTGGCGTTGTATGACAAAATCTCTCAACAACTTCGCACATCAATGTTCAGTGAGCTAAAAGAGCTCTTTGATTTGCCCACAGAGATTAAGATGAAAAACGTTTCTGATAAGCCTTACTTTGGCTATATTGGAAACCATCCTTCGATTCCTCCTCTCCATGAAAGCATGGGAATTGAGAACGCAACTACTCTAGAAGGAGGTGAAAGCTTCACCAATATCATTTGGCCTAAAGGAGGAAATAACCATTTTTGGTACTACACAAAGATTTCGATGCAGATTTTTCTTTTGCTTTTTCTTTTTCTTTTATAATGATTCTTAGTACTTTTATTCTTGTTTAACTCTTTTTTTTATATATACTCTTTTAATTATAGTGAAACTGTGGTTTCATACTCGAGACTGGTTTCGGAGTTGGAGAAAATGGTGAAGAGAATGGTGTTTCAGAGCTATGGCGTGGAAAAGTACTACGATTCTCACTTGGGATCCACTACTTTCTTGTTGAAGCTAATAAAATACAGAGTTCCTGAGATGAACGAATCGAGTATCGGTTGCGCCCCTCATACAGACAAGAGCTTCATAACAGTGCTTCATCAGAATGAGGTCAATGGTTTGGAAATCGAAACCCGGGATGGAGATTGGATTCAATTTGAGCCCTCGCCTTCTTCTTTCCTCGTTTTAGCTGGAGATGCATTCTTGGTGAATGATGATACTTCTTTCTAAAAGCTGGAAAAAAATAATTTTTTGACACTTCTAACTTTAGTTTTATTTTTTATAATATGGTATGCACAAGGATAGTGTTTTTAATTATATGGTTTTGGCCAGGCTTGGACTAATGGGAGAATACATTCTGCTGCACATCGAGTGGTCATGACCGGGACGAAACCGAGATACTCAATCGGGCTATTTTCGTACCACAACGGAACCATAGAAATTCCAGATGAGCTGGTTGATGAGCAACATCCGCAGCAATTCAAGTCTTTTGATCACTATGGACTGCTTCATCACTATCACGCGGCTCCGAAGATTGAATCTACTGCCAAGGACTACTGTGGTGTTTGATAAGGACATGATCTCTTTTAAGAGTCCTAAACGTTTACATTTGATTCAATATTCTAGCTAGTTCTGCTTCGTAAGTCATGGGATGTTCTCAGAAAGTTTGACCTTGTTTTGGCAGATTGATAATGAACAGTCTGTCTGTCGTTCTTTGTTATTGTCGTTTCTATTTTATGAAATATTTGTGGGAAGTAATGGAAAAATTAGAAGGAATATGAGACTATTTATGGATGAAAATTCTTTGGTTTTCAGGATCTCTAGCAAGTAAGTGAATTCCAAAAATAGAAAGACAAAAAACGAAAATTAGCATTAAACACCAACAACTCAGACCAAATATGGACGCGAACGTACCACTTTCATATACGCCCGGTTAATGAAGTTGTAATAAAATATTGAAGAAAAAAAAGAAAAGCTCTCCAAATTAATTTTTCAAAGCCTATAACAACTGAGGGGGGGAAAAAAAACAATTGCATGTTCAGAGAACGTAAATGGGAAAGAAAAACAATTCTGTATTGGTTTTCATACAAATTCATTGTTGGAACGTTAGCCAGCCAAAATTGGCAGACTTATTCAGTGCTGAAGTTAGCTTGTATTTCTTATCGTAAAAGATGGGGGTTAGTAATAATTTAATACTATAATTAGTCTCTTCTGTGTATATATATTGTTAGATCTGATGTTACGTCTGATGTTCCAGATGATGTTGGAACATTGTCTGGAAGATGACTTAATTAATTAAGATCCAGATTTCTTACTGTTCAAATTGTTCTAGTAGAATAAAGTGCAGAAATCAAAATAGACACGCAATATGGTATCGCAGTTCGGTGCACACACCTATTTTGTGGGGCCACGCCCAGACAATAAACAGTTTCACTATACTTCAAGAATTACAACACTGACGGACTTATTCACTCAAGGACTCCCTCTTAGACTATGACGCCGCTGTGATGAAATCGCACAATGACTATGTTTAGCGTGCACCACACGTCTTCTAAACTGCACGGCGAACTCCCTTCGACCGACAAAGCTTCCTCCCGAAAGCAACAAATCCCTCTCCCGAAGGACGATCTCAATAACGCACAACACTCACAAAAAACGCATAGACTCTTTTATGAAAATATTCTATAAAACACCTCTACCATTATCAGCTGCAATGAAACCTTAAATAAAGCTTCCTCCATGTTCTCTCCACGTTGAGCATTTTTTTAAATTCAAACTAAAAACTAAATCTCCTTTTGAATCCGGATTATACACCCCTTATCAAAATCCGATTTAAATATTATATATACCAACATCTTTATCTTCACGTTGACTTCATCATCATCTTTTTGGCATTTTTATACTCTTAGCCATCTCCACATCAATGCCCATCAAAATCATTCACACACAAATATATATATATATCCAAAGATGATGCCTTTGAAGTGTATCTCGTAGTTACCAAATTGAAACAAACCAATGCATATTCGGATTATACATCTACTTTTTAAATCCGAATTACTCCTTTAAAATAGCAACTTAATCTCCACATTATCTCTTTCTAGAATCCCATTTAAATTCAAATAACAAATGCCTTATCTTCCTTTGACCAGGGTATTATCTCTTTATCTCTCTAAATCTCAACCAATATATTATCTTCCTTTGACCAAGCCTTTATCCTTATCTCTTCAAAACTCAATTCAATAAAATCTGCAATTTTAACTTCAAATCTGATTCGAATTCTTCTTTTGCAATCTGAAATCTTCTTGAACCTATTTTTGAATTTTTACAAGATTGCCAATAAATTACCGACTAATAAAAATACCTAACATATATATGTGTATATATATATATA